ATTTAGATTTACAAAAACCATTTTCTTCCCCTCCTAACTGGTAAAAGTAGAAATTCACAAATGTAAAAATTTGCAAATGCACAATTACACATTTACTCCCTCTGTTCAACCACCACAAAAAAATCCTACTTCTTATCTTGCAAAAAGTCTTCACAACAATATTATGAAAAAATCAAATCCTGGATATGCTCAGAAATTACATAAACTAATGCAGTTATCCTAATGCTCCCCAGGAGCTAATTAAGTATACAACTGAAATTAAAGCCTAATTCCTCCATGGCAAAATACTAAATTACCACATCACTGTCCTACCGTTCGTGTGGTTGGGTTACAGCTGACACCAGAGCTGTGGTACTGGAGAGACTGGCTGCCAACAGCCACCAAGAGCATCATCGTACAGCCCTGGATCTCAGCTGCAGTGAGAAAATTCAGAGGACGAGAAAGAGATTGACCGAGTTGAAAATTTCAGTGTTTCCTACTGAAACACTGAAAAAGGTATTGAAAAAACACTGAAGGGTTACTGAAAAAAGTAAGACCTTTTTCTTTCAAACGATGTGCCCAGCTGTACTCTTCAGAGCTGCTCATCAAAGTCCTCTCTGCTTGGACATAAAAACATTTGTAGACCATGGTAGATGGAGCACAAGCCTCCCAACTCTATCCAATCAATACACAACCATCTTCATTCAAAGTGAGCTTTGTTCTGGGTAAGAGAAGATATAAATCTATAACTTAGATGACAGCGCTCATTACTGACAGCAGGGGTTCAGTTCGGGGAGAAGCTGGGGTTTTGGTTTGTTTTTCCAGACCTCGGTAACCCCACAGGTGCCCTGTGCTCCCACCCAGCTCACACTCCCCACTGGGCAGCAATCACCACTTTTAGTAACTATGGAACTGAAATGGATTTCAACCACTGACCTAGAAGGGAGAGATTCACACCATTCCCAGCTCTCAGCAGCAAAGCAGGGGGCTCCCAGCCAGCCTTCCCCAGAGCCTGTCTTCACACCAGGCAAAGAACAGAAAGTACATAACATTTGGGTTAGATCCCACACTGCTTACTGGGCTACCATCTTCCTAAACACAAACAGGGTTGATATTCCATCTTAAATATTTCTTTTCTGTTTGTTTATGCACGGTCACGGACTAAGTCAAGCTAAAGTGAAGGCTGCCACCAAAACACAAACTCCCCCCCAAGATTCCTGCTTGGATTCCCAGCCCAGCTCACAGGGAATGCACGGAGTGGGATCCAGAGCGGGGCAGCCGAGGCTCCAGCAAGAGTGAAGCCACATCCTACGAGTGCCTGGAAAGCTGCTCTAGATCAAAAAACTACCACAAGCTGAAATAACCTGCACAAACTTCCAATGCCACCATCCTTCATTCATTTCCTCTGACACACGAAACATTTACCATGCAGGCAGGTAAACTCCGCTTGTCTAAATTAAGCACATTTGTATGCCGTCCTGCTTTAATCTGCATTTCCATAGAAACCTAATTGTGTATTCCTCTTCTCATAAAAACAGGATTTAATTCTCACTCAGCAAGTTATGAGGCAGCAGGAAAAAAAAAAACGTTAAAGTAAAACTATTACAATCAGCTTTGTTGCTCTCTGCTTATTTTAGAAATCAAAATAAGTACAGCACATCTTAATTTTAATATTCTGAATTTAGTAGCAACTTGTCAGTAAAACCTGGTGTATTTGAAATCTTCTTATTTAAATCAAGTTTCATGATTTGGTTGCTACTGAGGCTGTGAGATTTAATTCAATACACAAAGCATAATTCCAACCCTCCTGTGTTAAAAATATTCTTTAAATAAATAATAGATCAAAGCAGTGTCACTTTGATGGCATATGCAGCCCAAGAAAGCAGGAGATGAAGGATTAAATGTTTTCAGAGCAGTCCCGGATGAAAGGGTGGGGGGCAAGTAAATGTTCAGTTATTTTATCTAGATTTACCACTCATTACTTCTCTTATTTGATTCTTCCCTCTATTAGAAATCTGCCTTCTAAAAAACCTTCAAGTTCATATAAACTCTGGGGTTTTACAGCAATGAAGCAAGATGGGGAAAAAAAAAAAAAGCCATTCCATTCCCAAATCTTAGTGACTCATTTCTTCTAACTCCAGTGAAGCCAGGATGGCTCCCTAGGACTCCCCAAAATGATAAATAAGGGCAAAACCCATCACTGCCTGTGTGGTTTTGTGATTCACGGGAGAAATTGCCACAGATTTACCTGCAGCTCTGGCAGACAGACACTTGGTTTGGCTCACCTTTGAGAATTTCTTGATTCAGAGATAGGCTGGTGTGTATAAATACGGGTAACGCTTCCCATCCTAAGCTTTGACAACTTCATTTATTCAATTCAAAATAATGCAATGCTTTCCCTGCTCTCAACTCACACCAAAAGGTATATCCCCTCCAGCCTTCAGCAAAACCTCTTTCAATAGTGTCTCGAAGACAAGAGCACATCCAAAGTCAACCAGACCTGGCTTTTGGAAGGAGGAGGCGAGAGACAAGAAAATGAAGGTAAATTGGGGAATGCAACAGACGCGCAGTCAGCCTGGGACTGGGGGAAGTGACTGGGTGTTGCTGTGACTTTGATTAACAGTGATAGACAGGGGTCAGAGGCCTTGAATAAGGATGACACGTCTTCCCTCACACCATCATTCCAAAATTATTCCTAACAAAAACCCCACAAATCTCAAGTTCCTGCATTGTTATTAAGGTGATTAGTTTTCTGGACAAACCCGTTAGACTCAAACTCCCATTTTCAGTTGATCTACATGAAAACAGCAGCAGCACGAACGAACAAGCCAGGTCATATAACACAGGGTCAAACCAGATCATACAATTTTTATGAACTATTTTGCAGGATTAACCTAACGGGAGTTAGCTGGAGGAAACATTTAATAAACGTCATTTTCCATCCAGAATTCTAAACGCCCCATCTCCTGACCCCCTCTTTCATCCTCTGGAGTTCTGACAAGTTTGTTATATCTCATCAAAAACTAAGGAGACATTCAATGACAGCTAAAAAGCTGAATAAAATACAAAGACATGAAAAATAACTACTAAGATTTAAAAGTAATGAGATGAGCATTCTCTGATCAGTTTCTCTTGCTCTCAGACGTCTTTATGTGCTTTTTATATATTCCTATGATTCTGCTCTTAAGCAAAAAGTAAGTAGACACAACAGCAAGTTTGTCCAAACACCACCTGATAAAGCTGTGCAGATACAAATGACACATGACCAGCACCACTGATATTGATAGAAAGAAAAAAGCCATTTGATTCAAGCTGACAGTGAAAACATGATTAAACAGAAAGATTCAGATTTGCTCTTATTTTCTTCATTTACAAAAACAAGGCTCAGTATCTTGGAGAATGATTCAGGGCTGATTTCACTAAGCTCATTCACAGCGAGTAGCAACACAATTCCTTGAGAATCACATCATTCATACCACAGAGGACTCTTAGAAGAAGAATCTGCAACTCCCCAGGAGTAAGGATGGTAGGAACTCGGCTGTGACAACCACTGTAACCACTGCTCTCCTCTTCACTGAAACAATTCTCTTTGGCTGTAACACGCACATGAAACGCTTATCAAGAAATACAGAGACAATAGCTGATTTCTACAACTTTACTCAGGCTTATACTGTACAACCTATCGATTATCTTGATCAAGTCAATGTCATTCCCAGTTTAGAAAGAAACAGCTTTGCAGAGCAGGAAATAAGCGAACAGGAAGCTTCACAGGAAGGCAGAGGGATCACTAAAATAGACACGCAAGCTCATCACACCTCCACAGTCTAGTAGAGAAAAAGCTGCTCTTTGCCAAAACCCGTTAAAGAAGACATACCACAAAACTTTGTGTTCTGTGGCTCATTTCAATTACATCCCAAAAAACCTCAGTTCAAACCATTAAAGATCTGCCAACTCAAATTTTCTATACGTGGCTCTACTCAGTCAAATGATTCTGGTTCAGCCAGAGCCTTCCCCAGAACCGCTGAGCACTACGGGACCATGCTGGTGAACACCCCTCTGGGAACTTTTAGAATCATGTATAACATCCTCAAGCCTGGCCATGACGCCTCTGGAAAGAGACTACAGGATGGAGTTGCAACAATAGTTCCCAAGTTATTCCACAGCATTACAATCAGAAGCATAAACATAACAGGAATTTAATCACCCAAAAAACCTCATACCATAAACAGAAAGTTATGGGCAAAATAACTTTGAGACCTACAGAATCCCGTAACCCAAAGCAGATTCCAAGAACAGAATGAGAGGAGCTGATTATCCACGGCATTTCCTAGGTGCTTTGTTTGCTTGCTTTTAACTTAAACATTTAAGTTGGGGCACAGATGCAGCAAAGGATTCAAGACAGGCTGGCAGAGGTCCTTCTTTGACAGCTTGGTTTGATCAGTTTCACATGCAACTTACGAACACAAGAGAAGCACCTGGCTTTAATACACCAAATGATTCATCTAACATCCAAAAATCACATAATCTCATTTTTCCCACACAAAAAGAAGGCTTTCATTTTATATTCCGCATAATATGCTGGTGGCAAACTTCAAATCCACAAAGCCCCCTTGCATCTTCACCACTAGACAACTTTAACGACTATGTTTATTGCACCTTGTACTCGCATCATTAACCTGCTGATCCAGAGAGCTCTTTAAGACCTCATTAATTTTATTGTCTTTCCTGAGAAACACCAAGTACCCAAATTTCATTTAAAGAGCTTAAACGAGGGAGGTACTCAAAGGCTGCATTACCATGAGCTTGAAATTAGTATTTGTGACCCATCTGCACGTTTGCTTCCCCCAATACAACATGACAGGTACATAAACTAAAGGCAAGGTACACCACGGGATCAAATACCCATCTGAAAACACAGACTGTGCCTGAAGTACAGCAGCCCTCTGGGCACTTACTCCTCCCTTTTCACCACCTCTCCCCACTAATCCTCCTCCAAACCCCATCCTGCCCGTGAGCATTACCCGGTCCTTCATCCTCCAGCTCTGAGCCAAAGACTTGGAGCCTTCAATCTTCTCACAATGCCTTTTCTTCATAAAGGCCAGAGGCAAGTTCCAGTCAGTCAGGTCAGACTCATCCTCCTCCCCGAGCCCCAGAAGAGGCGACTGTAGCATCTCAGACTCCATCAGAGGGGAAGTGCCGGGCAACAAGTGAGCAGCAATCTCCAGCCCAGCGGGGGCCGAGGGGGGGTCCCTCGGGCGGGTGGCGTGGGGGGAGGACGGGGCAAGGGCAGAGGGAGGCTCCGCTCCCAGGTGTGCGGGGAAGGACGAGCTCGGGGGAAGCCGCGCCTTCCACCTGGCGACTCTCCTCCTCCGCCGCGGCCCGCAGACAGCAGCCCCGTCCGGGCTCCGAGGAATGCGGTGCCTCCCGGCCCCGCCGAGGGCCGAGGTACCGGAGGGGACCGGGCCCCGGGCCTCCACTCGCGCCTCTACCCCCGCGGGCCCTGTACTCTCTGCGGCGGGAGCCGCGCCCGGCCCATGGCGGCTCCCAGCTCCCTCGCACACCGGCGGGCCGAGAGCGGATCGGCGAGCTGCGCACCGAGAGCGGACGGGAAGCGGGAGAAGACGGGGAGACTCGTCCCGCGGTGCCGGAGAGCCCGACTCCTCTCACCACCACATCAAGGAGGCGGCCATCTTCCCCCGGCCCACAATGCACCGCGCTACGGGCCGCCGCGTGGGACAAGCCGTGCCGCCGCCGGCCGGCCGCCGTTACCATGGTTACAGCGCGGCCTGTCCCGGGCCTAGCGCGGGCCGGGCGACACCGGGAGCCTTCCCTGAACCCCTCCCCGGGTCCGCAGGGCTGACAACAAGCCGTCCTCCTCCGGGCAGGCGGGGACCGTCCGGTTGAAGGTTCACGGCTCGCCCGTCCGGTCCCCTGCTTTGCGCGGCCTCAAGATGCCGGCGGTGCGCGGTGACAGCCCGTCCAGGGGGGCTGTTGGGGGGGCACCGCAGGCTGGGCAGGTTTGGGGCTCCCTGTGGGAAAAGGGCGTTTCAAGGGCAGAACAGGCACCCGCGGGGATCCCAGGCCGGGGCGGAGGTGAGGGGCTGAGCCACAGTGTGTCTGTCCCAAGGGGAGAAGGTCCCGCAGCGCTGAACCCACAGACCAGAAGGACAAGGCTTCATCCATGGCATCTGCTCCTCCTGTCAACTGCCCCACCAAGCTGCACATCCACCGTGGGCTTCTGCACAGGGAGCCATGGGATGCGATGCCCTCCTTTCCTTCAGGGATTTTCCCTCCTGCAGTACTGAAGGGACAAGTTCATTCATTACCGAAAAATAAATACACCCAAAAAATCAACCTGATGTACATTGCCGTCACTTAAAGCAACACAGGATGAACTGCACAACATACCGAGTCTACAACTACAGTTCTGATGATCTTCATCTTAAACAGAGATAAAAGTACCTCTGTGATGTGAAGCTCCTGGCTATGAGCAGCAGGAGCATTGCACCGGTGTGTCCTGGTTCCCCCAGACATGCCATAGTGCTCGTTCTTGGACCTTACTCCACTTCCAGTTGTGGGGTCATTTATACTGGGGCAAAAGAGCGGTGCAGTGGTGAAACTGGGCAACAGACTCCAGCAGAATTATACCTGAGGAAAAGCAAATGTATTATTTCAGGAATTTATCAAATAAACGGAAGGTTAATGAATGTCAAATATTGCTCCTAATGAAGTTCCTCATTTTTAGAATATATAATGTTTGCCCTTAGCAGTAATTGAGCCCAACTGCATTCATGTTTGTAATACTGGAAAGGTGTAAAAATTATTTCACTGTAGAAATCAAAGAATACATGTATAATTTGATTTATAGAATCATATTCATTATCATTAATATTTTCAGTGTTTACATTCATGGAATATTTTAAATGCAATGACTGTTTCCTACAATAGATTGGAAAATTATATTTCTTGGAGGCTCTGGAATGGCCAACGTTTGCTTTTGCTCCTTTGATTTACTGACTGAGCTGATTCATTGCTTTATGGGTGTGCTTTTATGCTGATGGCTGATCATAACTACATGATTGTTATTGAAATGAATTGCCGTGGCATAGAAAGCATTTATATTGTGTTTCTGCTAACCTTTAATGATTTCCCCGCACTGATGGCAGCTGCGCAAAATGGGAACAACAATCCCAACACACCACCTGAAAAAATTACAGCCCCTGGAGGGCCCGGGACAGTTAATCCAGCGCTGTGGCCACACAGATGGACCCTGGCCATGGGCAGCGCCGCCGTTAATCCCGGCTCCCGACGGCTTTAGGGAGCCTGTGCCCCACCAGAACCCGCTGCTCCGCAGCCTCGGGAGCCACCACTGAAAATACCTTTGAAGGACACAGCTGCCAAAGGGCAGAGAGCACAAATCTGCCTCCCTTCCCCTATGTGCAGCTTTAAAACGATGATTATTTCAGATAACGACTGCCGTGTTTTCACGGGGGGCTGGGGGTGGTGGGACACGGGGACCAGCACGGCAGAGCACCCCCAGCCTCAGCAAAGTGGGGCTGCTCTCACGACAGTTTCTGAGAGCTGGCTGGGATGACATCACCTATGTGCTAAATACATGTTATTTTATTTTTTTTTTAACGCATGATGAAAAGGGCATAACATTTAGTTTTAGCAAAGCTGTGACTGGAAATTTGTGAACTGACCAGAGCCGGTAAATATCAAATGAAAACATTTATCTGCACTTTATCAGATCTCTGAATAAGGCTTTTCTAAAGGACACACGCGGCAGGTCAGTTGGGGTCAGTCTCCATTTGAATTCCTAAATTTGCAAGTTTTGATGGAAATCAGAATGAATTGATTTGTTCAAAAATAGCCCTGCCAAGCGCTTGGCTCTGATGGCATCTGGTCTCTGATAATGAAAATCTTCAGGATGGTGGTCATGGGCTCTCGGATCATTTGCAGTGATGCGCCTTAATCAAAGCAACTCACCTTATTTCAGTCTGCATAGGGCAAGAACCAAAGGGAGACATAAATAATCTTCCATTTATGTCTCCGTAAAAATTACTTGTTAGAAGTGATGCCATTCCCTGGACTTCTTTCATTTCACTCCGTAGCCCAGTGTCAGCTCCTGGTTTCCTTCATGGCAGAGAAAATTCTGCAGCTTTTACTCAGGCAAAGTATTTCTCAACGTTAAAAGGCCATGGCAAGTCCCCTGCCACTGGAGTAGAAAATTGAGGCTACTGTTGTGCTTTAACCCCAGCCTGCAATAGAACCACACACCTTAAGAAGGGGCAGGGGGTAAAAAGGGGAAAAAAAGCAGGGGAAAGGGAGAGAAAAACCTTATGGGTTGAGATAAAGACAGTTTAACAGGTAGAGCAGAAGCCACGCACAAGCAAAGGAAAACAAGGCCCTTGACAGCTGATTTCCCTCTCAAAATTAAAGCAGGAGCTTCCATCCTACTCTCAGTGGGCAGAGAGAACAGCTGATTTCTCCACACTGAAGTGAAACTAACTCTTTTTCCATGTCTCCAGTTTGTCCAAACCTTTCTTAATTCCGGTCCCATCCCCTGACGTGCCCAAGGGACACAGCTTTAGTCTGAAAATCCAGTGAGCACAGTTCCTAATCTCTCCTCTTGGTCAGCAGTGGGAGTTATCAGGGCAGCCCCCAGCCCCAGGTGGGTCTCTGGAATAAATACCTGCTCCTTCCACGTTGAGAGCGAGCCCTTGGTAACTCACACCGAGCACCCAAATTGCTGTCATTTCATCCAGCCCCCATTTGCTAGGTCACTGCACGGGTGGCGTGATTTTAGGCATTGGCCAGGGAAGTGCCTGTGTCTCAGCAAGGCATCGGGGCTTCTCCCCGAGCTGATAAAGACCTCGTCGAGTCAGTCGATAGAGCTCAGAGAGCGATTCATCTGCAAAAAAATACAGGGTGAAGTGAGCTGTGTCCTAAGCTGGGTTGGCCGTATTGACTAGGTCACTGCCTGCCTAACGAGGAAAACATGACTAGATCCAGCCTGGAAAGCCAATTATGTTTTAGTGCTCTGAAAATACGACTGGGAGTCCCACAGTCAAACGCCCGGTTAATTTGTTCTCCTTTGCATTTCAACACCAAGGAAGCTTTTATTGCGAGTGCAGGAAGATGCTGCGGCTCCTGCTCCCTTTGGAGGCACTTTTGGCTGGTTGGTGTTTGTTTATTGCCCTCCCCCAGCTGCCTGCCCACGGGCTGAATTTTTCCTTCCACTTCTTTGTGGCACTTCTGGCCTCGCTGGCTTTGCTACCCCCCTAAAACACACACACGTGCTCGTGCTCGGAGGCAGAACTTCTCCTGCTGTACTCGGTGCTGGGAGCTCAGTGTGGTTCAGATCACTGTGTTCCGATCCTGGGGCTTTTTTTTCTTTTATAAAGCCCAGCCCTGGTTTAGCAAATCTGTTCTCAATTAAAGCAGCGTTGTAAAACCCTTGTTCCTAGGGAGTCTAGGGAGCGGAGACACCGTGTCGAGTAAGGCACATTAAGCGATGTCCTAAAAACCAAAATGCAGAAGGATTATCTGCCAGAAACACACTTGGACAGATTCTTCCACCTGTCACTCTCTTTAATGAAAAATTCTCCTATCTCAGTCCCTGTCAGCCTCCTTTGCTCTGCCTTATTCAGGCAGCTAATTCTAATTCCACTCCTGGGCGGGAAGAGAGAGAGGTATGGAAAGAAGAACGTTGCTTGTAAATAGCAAGAGAGATTTTATCTTTCATTTTCATTAGCCAGATCCACAGGTCACCCGATGGGTGGGAGTCAGATGCAAAGGTCTGTGCCCTTAGCCAAAGGGCTACCTTTTCCATGGCTTTAAGAGCAGGTGCTTGGCTATAGGCTTATGCCTGCGAACACTTCCCTTCCCCGAGCACCGTTGGTACAGCCACGGCCGGGGCTGTTTTAAGCATTTAGGGGTGAAACAACAAGGTTTGTTTTAACACTTCAGTCAGCGGAGCCTTATATCCTAAAGACAGTAGGTAAAATATTTATTAGGAAGAATATCTATTTTTAACTAAGTATGATTTCAGTTCTATTATTTATGCATGTACAGCTCATAGGCTTCCGCGCCTGTCTCCTCGCAGTAAACGTGAATCCAAGACCTGAGGCTGGAAATGGGAACCGGAGCCTGGGGAGGAAGGGATCAGGAGGCAGGTGAGAAGGGGGTGGTTGCTGTTATGTGCCAAATCCAATACGCATCCACACATGATTCATAAAAATGACTCTCCATCTCGTAAAACGAATCCCAGTGACCTCCCTCTGCGGGAGAGGGAACTGAGGAGTCTGCTCCTGGCGCTGCCCTGCTCTTCCTGACTCGCATCCTTCAGACACCCCCGGGCTGAGAGGCAGCAGTTGCAGCATTAAACCCTCAGGTTGGGCTCCACAGAGCCCCTGTCTGATGGCTGCCAAAAAAATGCCTCCTCGTGAGTAACTGCTGATGCCACGTTTGCTTTCCCAGCTGTTCCCACCACAGGGACCGCCGCCGTGTCGAGGAGGAATGGAAAACCTGTGGGCTTTCCCCTGCTCAAACAAGAACCAGCTTGAAAAGACTGGGAACAGAAGCTGAATCAAACCTGAAGCAGAGGAAACCACCACAGGGCTGCTGAGTCTTATCCCAACTCATTTTCCTTCCAGAAGAGGGGTACACATCCATAGGGCTGCTGTCACACCGCCCTGCTCAACACGGGGCCACGCAGAGCACCAAGCTCTCTACCCCATAGGAAGGACACAGATGTCCCTCTGAAAATCCTCTGAATCTGTGTTTGAGTCTCCCTGAGCTGACACAGGGGGAACCAGCAGCCACTTCATTCTAGGAGACACAGACGGGACTTGGAGGGGGCTGAGGATGGTGGCCAGAGCCCTTCATGTGCCGGTTCTTCCCGGTTGCCCCCAGTCCTGTTGCTGGTGCAACGTGCTGTCAGGAACCCAGACAGGAATCAGACTGCCTTAAATCATGGGAGACATCAAATGGGTGCAAAGCTGTGTCTCAGTCGGGAGTGCTCCATTAGCAATGTGTCAGGGATTCTTCTTCTCTTCTCGTGTTGAAAAGGCCAGAATAAATACTAGGTCAAAAAAATCTCTCCTTGCCCTTTCAGAAGGAGAAATGCTTTGGCATCGGGGGAAATTTTTGTCACCAAGAAAAAGGAGAGAGAGGAAGAAGAGGTGGTGCAGTGGTTCGGAGCAGAAAATGTGGGAGTTCTAGCTTTTCTCTTTCCGTTGAACTTAAAAGGGCAAGTTTCCTGATGAATCAGTAGCTGTAGAGTTTAGTTAATGAGAGTATCTGACACCCTTGGATACGAGGTAGTAAGGAAGTTAGAAGTAATTTAGACTGTGAGGCAACAGCTGCATTTCACCCCAAAGGTGGCTTTAGTTCACTGACAAATGTAAAGATTTCTGTGTTCCTACTTGCACAGGGGAGACTTAAATGACCGCTCCGAAGACTGACAAAAATTGGTTGCTTAATGGAGATGTTTTTCTCATAAAGCCTGAGTGAAGCTGCACTCAATACATTTGGGGATACGATAGATTAGATAGTTTGTAGGAGCTGTTAATAG